TTTGTTATCACTTGTTATGCATCAGAGAGTTGGACAATGACTAGGGAGGATAGAAGGAGAATTGATGCCTTTGAGCTGTGGTGCTGGAGAAGAGTATCAAGGGTACCATGGACTGCTGGAATACAAACAGATTCACCCTGGGAAGGGTTAATCCAGGAGGCTCCTTGGAGGCAAGGATTCTGAGGCTTCGTCTAACATACTTTGGACATGTTGTAAGGAAGGACCGCTCCTTGGAGAAGGACATCATGCTTGGGAGGGTGGAGGGACAGCGCAGGATGGGAAGGCCCTCTATGAGGTGGATTGATTCAGTGACTGGGGTAATCGGGATGGGTGTATCGGAGACAGTTCGATTGGCACAGGACAGAGCAGACTTTAGGGCTGTTGTACATAGGGTCGCTATGAGTCGCAAACTAATCGACGGTACATAACAACAACAACAACACTTCCCCCTTCAGGGACTGTTTAACTGCTGATGGCAGGCTCTGTCAGAAGTCCTACAATGAGATGGATTGGTTCTGTCACTGGGGTCATGGGAATAAGTGTGTCAGAGACAATAAGGTTGGCAAGAAATGGAACAAGGTTTAGGCCTGTTGTACATAGGGTCACTCTAGGTTGCAAGCAACTAGATGGCACATAACAACAACAAGCATACAAGGAAGTCCAAAGAATAACCATCATTCAAATATATGCAGCAACAATTAGAGACAAAAAGGGGGAAATAGAAGTTTTCTACCAACTTTTGCAGTCAGAGATCCATCGAACATGCAATAAAGAATAATTAATAATAACGGGTGAGTCGAATGCAAAAGTTGAGAACTAAGAAAAATTAGTATTTGGAAAACACAGACTTGGTGACATAAATAAAGCTGGAGATAGGATGATAGAATTTTGCAAAATCAATTATTTAGTCATTTCAAACATGTTTTATAATAAATAGATGATATATAGATAATAGATAGATGATAGATAGATAGATAGATAGATAGATAGATATTGCATTGACAAATAATTTTTGGTGTCATGAAAATATAAGACAAACGCAGTTGAAATTTTAAAAATCTTTACATATACGAATCAGTAATATTAATTAATCTTAACAATTAAGCTTTGGTGGCATAATGACAAGAAGCTATGCTACAATCCTGAAAGCACACAATTTAAATCCACCAGCTGTTCCATAGGAAAAGGATAGGCAATCTGCTCCTAAGTAAATAACTGTCACTGAAAACCCAATGAAGGGTCACCTATGGGTCAATTATAACTTGACAGTATACAACAATAGCATCAAGTTATTCAACCATCAATCTTAAATGTTCCTTTCTTTTTTGTACATGAAATGTTTTTAAGGCAATAGATCAGTCAGGAAGAATAAGGTTATTCACATATTGATACTGGTTCTACAAGAAGAGTCTCAAGTGTCTTTCTAATCTATGCATAAAATAACTTCTAAATATATTTAAAAGAGGCTTTCATGCCCCTCTTAAGTGAAAAAATAACTAAACTACATAAAGTAATTGCATTAGCTTGTCCCCGAATGGAGAAAGTTTCATAAGCTAAATATATTTTAAAGTTACATGAGACTTAAACTCATTGTCATCAAGTAGGGACCAATTTATAACTGCCTCTGCAGAGGGTTTTCAGAAGCAGGGAAGGACATTGCCAATTTTCCTCCTATGGAGAAGAGAAGCTTTTAGATTCAAATTTTTGGGTTGACCCCAAAATAGGCAACTCCCTATCCACTAGGTCACCAGAGTTCCTTAACATGAGACTAATATTAATCACTTCTAGAAAGCTGGAAATTATAATATGTTATAGTAAAGAACAAACTAAAATATAATGATCATCAAGTTACTTAAAATCAATATGTATAACTAATATGGCTTTATGTTTAGTTTCCAATTTACCAAATAGTTCTTACAAAAAAAAATTTAAAACTGAATTATAAGATAAAAGAGTAAAGAAAAATCCTCAGACACTGTTTTTCAATCCTATGTCTCTTGGATAGTAAAATCACTCATATTTGTTAAAATATCTAAAAGGCGCCTACAATAGTTTTCCACTTTCATGGTTTCTTTTTCACTCTAGTTTAGCATCATTATACTTTAAATTGAAACCAAAATTAAATTATAAAAATCATATTATCTGAGCAATATACCTCAAGAAAATAATACAGATATTTAGCCAAAAGCAAGTATGAAAATTACCTCTTTCAAATTTCCATTTTTAATCCAGTTGGCTAATTCTGCCTTTAAGTTTTCTTCATATTTTCTTGCATCCAACTTTTTAATGACTATTTTGTTCTTAAAGTGAGTGAATTTCTCTGGACATAACTCCTTGTAAACAAATTTTAAAAATACAGAATATCATGTAAGAATATAAAAATATGCATTTTTAATTGTGTATTTCTTAACAACAGCACATTATCAGCTTCTTCAAACTAGAAGTTGTTTACTTCTTACCTCCTCAAATATATTACGATGGATGGACTCTAAGGGATAAAATGCAGAATAAGACCAAGGAGAACATAAAACTGACAGCAAGTAGAACACAGAGTACAGAGAAAGAAAAAGAAGAATTATAAAATTTAGAGGTAGAGAATCAGAAATGTAGTATCCCAGAAATTGAAGGAAGAAATATATTCAACATTCAGTGTTGTTCAACCCCATTTAAACAAAATATAAATTGTAAACATTTCTATATTAACTAACCTAAGAAGGGGCCATTTTTTAAGGAAATGAGTCGAGGTTAATGGTAAGAGATCAGATAAAAGTGATTAGAAAGGATGAGAGTATGTATTAAAAAGTTATTTGCTTTATTTTTGTCTGAGTAAATATGCTCTCATCCCATTTAACAGCAACAATTCGAATTAACTCCTATGATTATCATTTACCTGGGCTCTCGGCCAAGTTTCCCAGACTTGAGCCATGGCATCATAAAGCTGAATGCTTTCTCGAGGTGAAAGGGTAAGGTCAGAAGGGAACCCAAGCTTTTCAATCTGTAATAAAATGAAACTTTTTAATATTTTTATTTATTTTAATTGACATAATACAGGACCTCTGTTGGCTTAGTCTGGAACAATTTGTACTTCTAAATTAAAGGATGCTCTAGTGCAGAATGTCGATCGTTCAAGATGACTTCCCTAGTCTGTCAGTTTTTACTTTCACCACAGATTGAGTGAGACTAACTGTATGCTAGTTATATGAATTGCAGCTAATAAGCACCTTTTTGCTAGGGGTAAGAGAACAAAGTGTGAAGACTACTAATGATGGAAATGATTAAACTTGCCATCCTGCCAAAAAATTGAGCAAGTTTAGAGATGTTGTTGTTGTTATGTGCCATCGAGTCACTTGCGACTCATAGTCACCCTATGTACAAGAGCCCTAAACTCCATTCTATCCTATGTCAACCTCAACGTCTCAAACACACTCATTTCCACCACTCCACTCACAGAATTGATCCATCTCATCGAGGGTCTTCCTCTCCTGCGCCCTCCCTCTACTATCCCAAACATGATGTCCCTCTCCAAGGACCAGTCTTGCCCAGAGTATGTCAGACGAAGCTTCAGAATCCTTGACTCCAAGGAGCAGTCCTGCTTCATCCTCTCCAGGACAAAACTGTTTGTTCTCCTAGCAGTCCATGGTATATTCAACACTATTCTCCAGCACCACAGCTCAAAGGCATCTATTCTATTTCTCTCATCCCTATTCACTGTCCAACTCTCTGATGCATAGCACGTAATTGCGAAGACTATAGCCTGGATCAGATGCACCTTAGTCTCCAGCCTGATGTCATTGCTCTTCAGTACTCTTGAAAGGTCCCTCACAGCTGACTTTCCCAATGCAATTCATCTCCTGATTTCCTGGCTGCTGTTACCAAGAGTGTTGATTGTGGAACCAAGTAAACGAAAACTGTTAACAATCTCAATCTCTTCACCACCCATACTGATGCTGCCAATTGGCCCAGTGGAGAGAATCTTTGTTTTCTTGATGTTGAGCTTCAATCCATATTGAAGACTGCAGTCCTTGACATTCTGCAGCAAGCTCTACAGGTCCTCCTCAGTTTCAGCAAGCAGGGTTGTGTCATCCACATAATGCAGGTTGTTGATGATTCTTCCAACCAATCGGCATGCCACATTCCTCCTAGTACAGCCAGTGTCTTGGATGATCATTCTGTATACAGATTGAAAAGGTATGGAGACAAAATACAACCCTGACGAACCCCTCTCTTGATTTTGAACCATCTAGTGTCTCCCTGCTCTGTTCTGACGACTGCTTCTTGATCCAAATATAGGTTTCACATTAGCACAATCAAATATTCTGGGATTGCCATTCTTCTCAGAGTCAGCCATAGCTTGTTGTGATCCGCACTGTCAGAAGCCTTTGCATAGTCAATGAAGCACAGATAGACACTCTTCTGGTATTCTCTGCTTTCTGCCAAGATCCATCTAACATTAGTTATAATATCCCAAGTGCCACGACCTCTTCTAAACCCAGCCTGCACATCTCGCAGTTCTCCGCTGACATATTGTTACAAACATTTTTGGAAATTGATAAAACAGGCAATCAAGATGCATTGATAATAATGGACAACTAGAACGCAAAAGTTGGGAACAGGGAAGAAGGATAAGTAGCTGGAAAACACAGGTTCAGTGAGAGAAATGAGGCTGGAGATAGAATGATAGAGTTCTGCACATTCAATGATTTGTTCATTGCAAATACCTTTTATAAGAAACATAAACACGGGCTACACACATGGATCTCACCTGATGGTATGCATAGGAATCAAATAGATTATATTTGTGGCAAGACTTGCTGCAGAAGCTCAATATCAGCAGTAAAAACCAGGCCAGATGCTGATTGTGGGACACACCACCAACTGCTCAAATGCAAGTTCTAGCTGAAGTTGAGAAAAGTTAAATCAAGTCCACGGGAACCAAGATTTGACATTTAGTCTGTCCCATCTAAATTTCAAAACCACCTCAGGAACAGGTTTGAGTCCTTGAGCACTAATGAGCATAGACCAAATGAGTTCTGGAAGGTTATCAAGAAAATTGTCCATGAAGAATGCAAAAGATCATTTCAAATGCTGAAGAAGAAGAAAAGACCAAGATGGATGTCAGGTGAGACTCTGAGTATTATTGCATTAGAGCCCCGAGAAGCCAAAGCTAAAGGAAGAAATCAAAGAGCTGAACAGAAAATTTCAAAAGGCAGCTCAGGATGAAAAAACAAGATACTATAATGAAATGTGCAGAGAGCTGGAGTCAGAACAACAAAAGGGCCAAATTCGCTCAGCGTTTCTTAAGCTGAAGGAGTTGAAAAATAAATTCAAGCCATGGTTGGCAATACTTACAGATAGTTTAGGCAGAATGTTAAATGATCTAGGAAGTATCAAAAGAAGATGGAAGGAGTACACAGAGTCACTGTATCAGAAGGAATTGGCTGACACAGAGGAATTTCATGAAATAACCTATGAGCAAGGCCTATGGTGATAAAGGAGGAAGTTCAAATTGCTTTGAAGGAATCGGCAAAAAACAAGGCTCCAGGAGTTGACAGCACACCAATTGATTTATTTCAACAAACAGATGCTGCCCTGGATGTGCTCACTAAGTTGTGCCAGGAAATCTGGAGGACAGCCAGCTGGCCAATTGGCTGGAAGAGATCAATATTTGTTCCCATTCCAAAGAAAGGTGACCAAGCAGAGTGTGGAAAATATTGCTATCACATGCAACCAAGTTTAGAGATAGAATATGGGAATTTTGATACTAGCTAGAAAGAAGTCAAGAGTGCAGAGTGTATCCACTTAGGGTAATAATTTCTGCTTGAGTCAGACTGGGATCTTGAAGAAAGCAGTAGTGTTAAGAACTAGAGACTAAAATAAAATAGCAGAATGAAGAATGCCACTCCAGGAAGCAAGATCCCTTGGCTTTTTGGCCAACCTTGCTAGAGGACTGAGGAGATCCCCCAGTTCACAAAGAGGATTTTACAACACTAGACTGAATTCTAGAGGGTAAAATCAGGGTAAAATTAGGGCCTGCAAACACACTTGAAAAACTGTCTTTATGGAAGAGTTGTATTCTTTCTCCGCTTGAAAAATTACTTAACTTTCTTGATGACACGTAACAACAACAACTTTCCTAATTAATTCCACAAATGCGACTATGGTCTGTGAGTTCTGTGTAGCAACTGTAGTGGTTTAGCAGACCCAGTGATAGAGCAACATAAGTCCTGGGAAAGACTGGAGGGTGTTGGGATTTGTAGAAATAGGTTATGGAGCAAAGGAGCATATCTGACCTCATAGAAGTGAGATTTGTATGATAGATGATGTACATAAGGATTATTTCCCTTACAGAACTAATAGTGGTCAGATGTGCTCCCCTGCACAACTGAAGTACTCTTCTTAACGGTTGCATATCTCTCTCTAGCAGTTAAAATTCACCAGCATCTCTGAGACAGAGAGTCCTACAATTGTGACTCTATATAAATCATCTTCATGAGTCACAATCACTCAAGGACAATGAGATGGATTTGTCCTTTGTACATTATAATTATCCATGAACCCAAAATAATTTTAATCATTTGAGATACATAACTAAAATATTCAGTTATTTGAAAGACTTAAATGCCAAGAAAATACTAACCAAGAATATCTCTGTGATATTAAAGTAGAAAGACTCCCAAATACCCACTAGAAATTTAATAGTATGAAAAAACTTTAGCTCAGTTCAATGGTCTACATATTGTTTCCAAAGTTCAAAATGTAGTGCTAGATAACTGTGAAAGTTGGGAACTTGGTTTAGGCAGGAAGCTATAACCGCTAACCTGAAAATAAAATTTAAATTAGTATAGTAATGAAGATGATTTATATAGACCTAATTATCATAAAGTCAGTTTGATCTTATGGTAATCCCATTTTTATCACAGTAGATCTGCAATGACATAGGTGTATTGAGTCTCTCCTTTTGGAAATATCACTGGGTTTGTCTTCTGAGGCACCTGTAGATCTGTATAAACTATGAACGTTTCATTTAGTAGTCAAAAACTCAACCATTTCTACCATGTAGGGAATTCATGAATATTAAGCCAGACTAAAAGGTACACAGCTTATCTGATTATGTTCAAAGATCAAAGCTAAGTAAATTTCAAGGTCATCTTAAAAAAAAAACCTAAAGAAATTTCTAACACCCTCACTAATGTAGTTCTGCTTTAAGCTTTCTGAATTTATTTTCTATTTATCCACTATTTAAGGTAATAATTAAAAATCCCAGTCTCCTAAAGCTTGCATGGAGTATCTTCTGTAGAAATAATGGGTTTTCTCTTCAAATGAATAGTTTATTCTTTTATGTGCTCAGCTCCTTTATATCAATTTCAAATGCATATCTATGACCAGGAATCATTCACTGACATTTACTCATTATGTGACGATGAAGACTTGATTTTTCAGAGAAAAGTCATGTTGTCAGGAGTCTTTGGGGGGAAATAAAATCATGCTTGGAAAAGTAGAAATTCAGCAAAAGAAAGATCCTCAAAGTAACGGTTTGACATAGTGACACAACAATGGGTTTGAGCATGGCAGAGCTAGTGAGAATGGCACCAGATAGAGTAAGGTTTTTATCTGTAGTTCATAGGTTTGCTATGAGCCAGGGTTGATTCATTAGTACCTAACAACAACAATACATTTGTAAAGGTCTACCTAAATTATCACTGAAAATTTTGAAAGGGTATGTGCTACACACTTAATTACAACTGTTAAAAACACTGTGTAATGCCAAAGCCTTTGTTTTCATCTTGAATTGTGCTGCAAGTCTGTAAATCTTAAGAATTCTTCTAAAAACAGGAGAGCCTTTGTTGATGTTATCTAGAGTGAGACCACCCTGTAGCTATTCTCTGTTTTACAGTTATTCTGTGAATTGCTCTTGAAAATAATGTTTCTTCTTGCTAAGTGTCATCAAGTTGAGTATGGTTCATAACAAATATGCTATAAATAGCAGATCTGAATCCTGTCCTGTGTCATCTTCATAATCTCTCATGTAACTGAGTGCATTGCCAGAGTCAATATGCTGTAAATCCTTCTCATAGAGGGTCTTCCTCTCTTTTGCTGACCCTCCACCTTTCCAAGAATGATGTTTGTTTCAAGAAATAGCTTTTCCAAGTAACACGCCCAAAGTATGTGAGATTTTCTTAGACCCATTCTAAAGAAAAAAACACCTTAGAAAAATACAATGCAGTTAAAATGAATATAAGACATGAATGAATATAAGATAATTGATGTATGAAATAATACAGATAGTGACTATCAGGAAAGAAGAAAGGGATGGAATGACAAAAGGAAGCAATAGAAATGAAAGTAGTAAAAAAAAAGATGAAATAAAGATGAGAGGGGAAGAGAGAGGAAGAAAGGGAAGGAAGGAAGGAAGGAAGGAAGGAAGGAAGAAGAAAGAAAGGAAGGAAGGAAGAAAGAAAGGAAGGAAGGACTCATGAGAGATGAAGAGGATCTAGAGAACTGGTTTGTTTCGTTTGTAGTGAAAGATCCAGCCACAATCTTTAACATGAGTTTCTTCCTCAGTTAAATATATCAATTATATGGGAAGCCAGTACTAAATATTTGTAATAAACTGAATGTTATTTCAGGATGCGGGGGGGGGTGAGGAGGTGAGGTACAAGCCAGAGTTCACCTTGAGGCAGGAAGATAATCCTTAGGGGTTTACCAGATTCTTGCATTTGCTAACCCCTCCCTCCTGAGTCAAGCAGAAGGTTTTCGATAGAAAGAGCTTGGCTTCAATTGCACTGAATTACCTTTGTGATTTACTTCCTGATAATTTTCAATAAAGAGACAGAGAAGTTTGGATTGAGGCTTCCAGTCATGGGAAATACTGGCACCCTGTTTTTCATGCTCTCTATATCTTTCCTGGTAGTCTGTTTCAATATCAATAATTATAAAAATACTTTACCCTCGGTCTGCAACATTCTGGTACCTGAACTGGGACAAGGTGGTGGTTTCTCTTTGGATAAGGTGGTGGTCTTTCTTTTTCTCTCTTTTGAGAATACACCAGGAATCGAAAGGGAATTCTCTCAGGGTAAGGGAAACTTTCGGGAAAATTAAAGACAGGGTCATGAGAGAATCTTCACTCCTTGGAAGTTGAGGATAGAATTAGAAAAAAATTTCATGAGGATATTCTCACCCCTTGAAGGACAAAGTGGAGGGTCCAGGGAATAATTAAAAAATATTTCATGGGGACTACACCCCACCCTCTGAAAACAAATTAAAAAAATCAGAGGTAGAATTGATAAAAAAGAGTCATGGGAGATGGCCCATCCTCTGAAGCTCAATCTATTCCTCTTCTAAAGAATGAATAGAAAAGAAATTGGGATAAGGCCACAGAAGTCTATGGATGCTAAGTTAAAATGTTATACATTTCTCTTTTCCAGAATTCCACTGAAAACTTGACGAGAGCAGAATTATCCTTTTAAAGGATCTGTCTTCCAGGAAGAAGACTTCCTCTTGGTGGCAGTCAGGCAAGGGAAGTTTCTGAGGTCTTTTTCGTTTTGTGTTACTGTTCTTTTTGGGTGGGCGGCCCGGACCCTTAGAGTAAGGGTAAGTAAGGGTGGGGTGGAGCCTGCGGAGCCTGCTCCAGGCGCTAGTTTAAAATCCTGTAGGACCCGAGAGCCCCAAACAAATGGTATCTATTAAGCCTTATTGTTTCACCACCGAAAAATTACTGTATGAAAGTTATGTTAATAAAAAGTTACTTTTTCACAATGATCAGATTTTCATATATGGCAGGGGATAAAGTTGTAGCTACATTAAGAGAGAAAGCCCTGGCGGCACAATGGTTAAATGCTCACTGCTAATGAAAATATGTGTAGTTTGAACTTACCAAGTAGCTTCTCCAGACATAGAGTGTAAATACTGGAACCTAGAAAACCCCATGAAATAGTTCTTTTCTCTAGTATGAGATCACTGAGTCAGAATTGATTCAGCTGCACCTAACAGTAATACTCAAAGTGAGAAAAGTATACAGAATGACATCTGTGATAGAAGAAGGAAAGTGGTCTAAACAAAGGTCTAAAAATAAAGAAAATGCCTCCAAAAATCGAGGTTAAAATATTAGTCATTTTTAAGTTTTGTGACTTAAGATACTATTGAGAACCCAATGTGGTATTTTTGAAAGCTAGGCTAAAGTATCAGTTGTATACTATTGTTTCTGCAGTTTTGACAAGAATCAGTTGGGTAGCTCTTTAATCATGATGTTGTCATTTTTTGTGTCAAGTCAGAACCGACTCATAGCTGGAAGCAGGTTTTCAGGGACTGTATGTAAATAGCATGAGAGGAGATTGTGCATCTTTTTCCTATAGAACAGCTGGTAAATTAGAACCTTGTGCCTTTGGGTTGGCATCACAACTCCTTACCACTAGGCCACCAGATCATGATAAAGCAGTAAAGATGTTTTTACTTAGAAGAAATATGGCTAAAAAATTACTTACATGGTCTGTTGTTAGTGCACCATATGGGTGAAAATGGTCAAAATCAACCTCATTATCTTTCAATGAACATACATATTTCTCTAAATCATTGTATCTCTCTCCATAGACCACTAAGAAAGGAATCACAAATATATCCATATCAATTAACATATAATGATTAGAATTATTAAGTAGAACACAAAAATGCTTAAGGAAGTATGAAACATACCAAGCCTGACTTTATATGATTGCGTCATTTGCAAGTAATTTTTGCAAAAATTGTCACGAGAGTCGATCTTCTTTTTAGAAGAAATATTTCTAGCAATTATATTGTCCATTTGTTTCCAGTAACTTTTTACTGATTGTAGCCACCTTACAAAATAAATTTACATATAAATTAAATGGAATATAGAATAATTTCACCTGAAATTAAATAAGCAATGAAAATTTTAATGTGCCTTAAAAATTATACTCCAGAGTTAAACTATGTCTCTTTTCCCATTGGCAATGTCAAATATATTACATAAATTAATATATCAGAAACATTTAGAGTAGAGTCTTATGTAATTTCCACTGAGTCAATTACAACTTAGAGTAACACTATATGACAAAGTAGAACTGTCACCTAGGGTTTGTAAGGCTATATTTACAGAAACAAACTTACCCATCTTTATTCCTATAAAGTAGACAGAGAATTTCAAATGTTAACCTTTTTGGTTAGCAGCCAAATATTGCACTTGTATCCCAGGGTTACTAATAATTAACAAAGCTTTTGTTATTTTTCTAATTAGGTTCTATGTGTGGTGCATTATGAAGAAATTTGAGAGTCTAAGGTAGACATTTCCTTTTTAACAGTTTTATTTCTTGGTGAAGAACAAAGGGAAAAATGCATCATCTCTGGAGAAGAGTTTCATTTTGTTTTGTTTTTAAAAAAAAATAGAAAGTTTCCTACTAAGTTGCAGGAACTTTGTTTTCCTACTAAGTTGGCTGGAGAAACTCTTGATTTTTGTTTATCGAAGAGGATGATTTTGCTTAACAATTGCCAAAATGTAATAGGCTCTGCTCTTGGAAGGAGAGGCAAATTTGTAAGTTTGTGCAAAAGTTGTGAAATCCTTCGGAAGTTATATAAGAAACCAAAAATCATCAAAGTACAACACATATAGAAATTATTAAACGCAAGCAAAAAACATAGGAAAAGCATTATATCCAAAACGAAAGTGGTGCCTACTCAGTGAGATGTGCAGGGTTACTGATCGTAGCTGAAAGAGCCAAAAATGGACATCGAATCATAACAAGGAGATGTTCCCAGACCTCTGCTCCAATTTCTCCACCAAGACAATGAACCTGTTAAAGAAGAAAAAAAAAAGAAATCTCTATTGAAAGAGTGATTCAAATTCTGGAAGCAACTTAAATGAGAAACTGATCTATATAGTGGCATTAGGATTGGAGGAAGATTATATATATATATATATGTGTGTGTGTGTGTGT